AGCCTGGCAGGATTTACTGTCCAGCTGAACACAGGGTACAGTGCTTAGAAAGAGGAAGGATGTTTTCCACAGGGACAGTGTTTTTCTAAGGTTCTTTCTGTCTGTGCTGCATTTTCAGGACCTGATTTATGTGGGTCTCTGACTGAGATAAATAAGATGAAGCTGTGTTTGACCAACTTACTATAAGGTGGCAAGATTGCAACTTCCATCTTGCTTGTTAGAGAAGTGATCAAACATCTTACTTAGTAGCTTTATTATTCTTCACATGCCTACCAGAATAAAATCAGTGCTTTCACATGGGAGGTGGGTCAGGATGCAGTCTTCAGGAAGGCTATCTGTTGGAATAGGAATTGGAGTCCCTGGACAGTGCACTGGAGCAGGCCTTGCCAGTGGCTGTGTTCCTGAACTGGTGTATTCCTGTGCCGGGGCTGTGAGTGAGCAGTGCTCGGGAGCACGTTGCTGTTGTACTTTGTTCCACTCTGCAGCTTGGATGTGATTCAGCCTGTAGCAATCTAATGACTGGTTTTGCTTCCCTTCTCTTTGCTTGTTGGGGCTTTTTTTTGTTGAGAGCTTGGGGGTTTGGGGGAGTTTTTTAGAGAGGCTCAGTGCAGGGTTGAAATAGGAGAATTGTGCTCCTTCATCTTTTGATGCGGGTGGCTGCAAGCCATGAGGAGAGGTACTCGTACAGGAGGGCAACTCAGACTTGATTTCAAATGGATCAACAGCCAGAAGGCAACAATTGGGGCATCTTTCAATTAGCTGGTTTTGGCAGCAGTGCATGATGTTAATTACAAAGTGCAGTCCAGTCCCTGCATGGAATTCGGCAGTGCAGGAGAGGGCAGGGGCCTTGTGGTTCGTGTGCTGGAGGGGGCTTGTGTTGGCTTCTCTTTGCAGTCGTCCTCCAGGTCCTCCCACTTGCTTGACTTTTCTGGCTGTAGAGGTGAGCTCGGGTGGTGATTGCTGCAAAATCAGCTTTGTCATTGGCTTTGGGTCACAGGGGTTGGAAAACAATTGTTCAGTTAAGGATTGTAACAGCATCTTTACATCTTGTTCGAGCATCGCTGTAACTGAGACAGCTCCTAAGAGCCCCTGGTGAACACTTAAGCTTTAGAAACGGGGATCCCAGGGGAAACCACAAACCTCCAGGAGAAGGTATGAGAGTGAGTGCCGTGAGAGGCAGATATTCAGAAAGGAGCAGCTGGGAAACGTTTCTCTAATTCGTGCTGGTATTTGTGTGCTTGTTTTACACCTGGAATCCTGGTCTTAAATAATAGAGTTTTGCCACAGGGTGTTAGGGGGAGCTCTGGCTTAAAGTTCAGGCTGATGCAGCTTTAATCTTGGGATGGAGGCACTGCTTTAAAACAAGCTTTCACTAGCATGGAGATACATGATAGCTCCATAGTTTGAATAATGGAAGAACCATGTAGTGCAGGTTAAGATGGCTCTTCCTCACTGCAGTCATGAGCCATAAGAGAGTGCTACTTACCACAAAGCACTTCTCGGTTCCAGGACTATAATCCAGTCTATTATAACAGCCCCTTAGGAAAATGCTGGAAAATACTGTGTGTTCATTTCTGGCTTCAAAGATGTAGGTGGCTTGCTTAGGAGAGTTTGCTTGTGGAGTGTTTTTAGGCTGCAAATCCTGCACTGGAAGCAAGGATATGGCACGTTCCTGGTACTTGCAGAAAGCTTTTGCGTCTCAAATTGCTAACTTATTTTTTCCCCTTGCTTTTGAACAGGAACAGGAAGGTGGTCGATTATTCCCAGTTTCAGGAATCAGATGATGCTGGTAAATGGCTTTTTTTCTTACCAATATAGTAATCTTGAGCCTAGTTCACTTCTTGCTTTGCATATCAATTGTTTTGCTTCTGGTCACATCTTTAACTTACATTCGAAGGACTTTCTGGTGTTCACAGCCTGAACTGTTAATAACTATTTGAAAATATAATGATTCTCATATGTTTTGTATTAAGCAAACAATGGTGATAGAAATCTTACTATTTAATGCTTGTATTGTTGTAGTGCCCTGAGGCTCTTGGCAGCAACTATCTTCTTCCTTGGTCTATGTTATGTTCTGGGGCAGAATCGCTCGGATGCCACTTTTTCTCCCGTAAAATATGTTTCCAGTTTAGTGGGACTCCAGTTAATCCCATAATGTCAGGAGACATTTGTGGGAATTGCATCTCCAAACCCCACATCTTTATGTTCCTGTGAATTAATGGAATGTTTCTGGAAGCCATATGGAATACGTTTTGTGTTCTTAGAAAACACACATAGTGCTACCGTTTGCTCAGTGAAGCTGCACTGATAATGGAAACAAATATGCACAGTTCTTCATTGCAGTCCTGTTCTCATATTGTATAAGGGATTGTGTAATAGTTGTAACAAGTTACTGTGTAAACTACTTCACAATGACATGTGTTTTTCCCATCATAGCACAGTAAATAAAGTCCTGTTAAAAGCGTGTAGAAATATATAGGGGTGTTAACTTGTAATAGGTTTAGATAATAACTCTGTTTCTGTGAAATGAGACACGGGGTCCTCTTGTGAGGCTTTCTGTGGCTCATCTTGCTATGTCAGACTTGTTTGTGTGGGACAGTTTGATTGTGCTGCTGGAGGAAGAAAAGGTAAATCACTGCTTGAAGACAGGACTTGGCTTCTGTAAAGTTCTGTTTGAAGCTTTGTTGTTGTGTCAGTTTGATGTTTTCTGAAGGGCTTCTTCTTGATGTGCATGAAATGGTCGGTTAAGTGATAGCTGAGGAAGTCACTTTGCTGGGAACTAGGAATTTGACTCAAAGCCATTTTGTTCTGTCCCGTCCAGATGAAGATTATGGAAGAGATTCAGGTCCCCCATCCAAGAAAATCCGTTCGTCTCCCCGGGAGGCTAAAAATAAGAGGAGATCTGGGAAGAACTCTCAGGAGGACAGGTAAAAGCAGCACTTCATCCACTACAAACACGGCTCCAAACCTTGTCCTGTATCTGGGGAGCAGTAAGTTCTAAGAGGAGTGATTATAAGAGGAGTTCAAGGTCTGCAGTGTAAGTTACAGTACTCTCAATCACAAAGCTTGAATAATCAGTTTGGACATTGAGGTGGTTCCTTCTCATCCGAATAGACAGAGAAATCATGTGGAAAGTACTTGTCAGTAGTACTTTGTCATTAAAATTTCCAGAGCTAGATGGTGGGAATGGGAAGGAATATGATCAGAGTTACAAAAATTGGCAACTGTTCCAATTATCCAGGTAAGTCAGTGGCAAGATGCATTCTGTTTTCCATGTCTTTTCCTTATGCTTGGAGCATTCATAGAATCATGGAATGGTTTGGGTCGAAGGGACCCCAACCCCTGCCCCGGGCAGGGATACCTTCCACTAGAGCAGGTTGCTCCAAGCCCCTGTGTCCAACCTGGCCTTGAACACTGCCAGGGATGGGGCAGCCACAGCTTCTCTGGGCACCCTGTGCCAGCGCCTCAGCACCCTCCCAGGGAAGAGCTTCTGCCCAAGAGCTCATCTCAGTCTACCTTCTATCAGTTTAAAACTATTCCCCCATGTGGTTCAAGATTAAATGTGACAGTACAGTGGCAGTTAGGAGCTGGGGCCATTTGTTACAGTTCTTTGTTTCTCATTTCTAGTTTTGTCTAATTCATAACCTGGTTTGATAATTTGAGTGTTAAAGGACTCAGTTCTAAGTGATGTCCTACTGAAGAGTGGGAGTCTTCCTGTAGAGTGAAGATATCTTCCTTTTTACAGTAACTATGGTCAGCAAATGATTGCCATAACATCTGTTAAATTGACTGCTCTCATGACAGACACCAGCTTCAGGGATGGAGTTTGGTCGTACTCTGTAAGCCCAAGGTGCCTCTTGATCCTGTTGCACTGTACACTGAGGAGGCTTCCCCATCAGCATCCCGTTCCATGAATGTAGGCATGGGAATGTTTCCATGGTCCACCTGCTGTTGTGAACTGAGTGGGGGAGACTATTTTCACCCTGGCAAACGCCTGGAATACCTGAAATCAAGGATTTGATGGGTATGAGATGTAAAGAAATAGGGCTGGGCAGCTCCCAAAGCAGTTTAGTAGCCAACCTTGATGTCCTTTTAGCTTTGGGGATTTTTCAATCTGTAAGAACAGTTGTATATGTATTGCAAACCTCTCGGAGGGCTTACGTGGAAAACAAGCTCCTGTCTTTAAGGGACAAACCCCCAGGGGCTGTGGTGTGACAAGTCACCTAAACTATGAGAGTTCTTGAAGTGTTGTGTGGCAGCTCCAGCTGCTGGATTGGAAATAGCAAAGGTTTGATCTCTTGTACTTCCTGACCTTGGCAATCTCTGCACTTCAGCCATTCCTGAAGCGTGTGTTGTGCACCGTTGGCCCTTACCAGGGTCCCCACCACTCCTTCTCAAAACACTTGTTTGCTCCCTGGTTGGAGTGCGTGTTCTTACACGCTGGAAGGAAAGCCCTCTCCGGGCAGTGGGAATGACTAACGATGGGGGTCGGATAACAGCATGAGTACCTGCTTGATAGGGATATCCTCTGAGGAGGAGTGGTGAAACTCCCTCAGAAATGAGATTATTTGAGAGATTGTAAACCTCTGAAATGTGCTAGTTAAGTGCTGTACAGGAGTAGAGGATGAAGGAGTCCAAAGAAAGCAGTGACGTAAAGTGATGACTGTAATATTCAGTATAAAACTTTGTCCCATTTAAAGACTCAGCCATGCATTAGCATATAAAACTTAACTTCTAACTGGAAAATGGAAGACCTGGATTATTGGTAGGGTGAAGAGTGAAGTGCATGGTTCATCTCAACCTTATTATTTCCTGGTTGGATCACTTGACTCCCTTTAAGTTTGTCTGTGATCCAGAGGTTGAACGTTCTCTTTCCAACCATGATCGCTCCGTTCCCAGCCGAGTAATTCGGAAGTACAACATGGTGATGTCCAGGCAAAGTGCGTGTTCCCAGCCGAGAGATCAGTTTGCTCTCTGCAAATAGGTGTTTTCCATATATCAGTGACTGAAACCCAAGTTAAACCAGCAGCCAAACCCTGTCTTTCTCTCATTTTCAGTGAGGATTCAGAAGAAAAAGATGTGAAGACTAAGAAAGATGATTCACACTCGGCAGGTAACTAACGACGTTGTGCTGATAGTGTATCTGCAAAATGAAGAGCAGGTTGCAAGAGTTACAGGAGTAGGGTTCAGCATAGGGAAGAAATGGTTCTGACTAGAGAAGCATGCACTTTCCTAATACACTTCAGCTGGATGCTGCTTCTTGCTGCTGTTACTTCCCGTCCTGGTTTGGGATAACAGGTTTTTGCGTTCTAACGTGCTGCAGATAGATGTCTGTAAATCTCTTCCCTCTACTTCTTGTCCCTATTTCAGAATGATACAAGAAACTTCATAGTTGTACCTTTTCCTTCCAGATGAAGATTTTGGCAGTGAAGATGATGACTTAGGAGCAGATGATGGCAAAGCTGACAGTGACTATGAGAGCTCTCAAAAAAGCAAAAAAGGAAAAAAGGCTAAACCAGAAAAGAATAAGAGGGCGGCCTCCAAATCCAGGAAAAGGCCTGCAGGTAAAAAACCATCAGTGAGCAGCTTGATTCACTTCCTCGTGATTGCCTTGACCTGTGTCTTGCCCTCGTGCTACCTCAAGGTGGTCTCTGTTTGCTGTCTCTTTATAACTTGGTGACTTTTGCTGCAGAGGACAGTGAGGATGAAAAAGAAGACCACAAAAACGTGCGTCAGCAACGACAGGCAGCATCCAAAGCAGCTTCTAAACAACGAGAGATGCTTATGGATGATGTGGGGAGCGAGGAGGAAGAACAAGAGGATGATGAAGCACAGTTCCAGGAGAGTGAGTAAATGGGATTGTAAAAAGTTAAAATCAATGTAACATGGGTATAGTTGAACAGAAGTTTATGAGTTTGGCCAGACAATGAAATGAACACAGTTTGCTTTTTGCCTGTGACAGTGAAGATGTAACTTGTTCTTCTCACTAACTTATTACTGCGTCTGTCCAACAGACTGAGCTTTAACACTTGTGAAATTCTTAATGCTTTTTGCTGCTATCCAGTTGGTCTTGAAGCATTCATGCTCCTTTCAGATGGCATAAAAGTACTTTTTATCCTTGATCTAATCAAGATAGGACCGTTTGTTTCCTAAGAAGAGATGGGTTCTGCTGGTAATGAAGCCTGAAATACTGAGTGCAGCCGATTTCACAGTGGAGTTAAGAGTACCACTGAGAAGATCGCTTCTTTCTCTCTTACTTACTAAGGAGATGAAGCATCTGTAGAGGACCTCAAAACACTTGCTGTGTCATCATACTAGTGCTTGATCCCTATGAGCGTAAAGTCAACTGCTCTGTCATGTAGCACAGCAGATAGGTGGAAGCTCCTATGGTCACAGAGCCCTCGTTTCCTGCCTCCACAGTTGAACGGGCAGATCTCTCAACTGTATCTCTGCTCCCTTTTCTTTTCCTAACGAAAACTTAAATCTCTTTATGCTTCCAGCAGATTCAGGAAGTGACGAAGACTTCCTCATGGAAGACGATGACGATAGTGACTATGGCAGTTCAAAAAAGAAGAACAAAAAGGTCTCCAAGAAATCCAAGCCAGAGAGGAAAGAAAAGAAAATGCCGAAGCCCAGGCTAAAGGCTACAGGTGAGTGTACGCAAAGAAAACTCTGCTCTTTTCTTCAGAGGTTGGTATTTCCTTTTTCTGCTCTAGAAGGCTTGGTAGAAATCTTGGGATCAGTAGCATTCACATTAAACACTGCCAGGGATGGGGCAGCCACAGCTTCTCTGGGCACCCTGTGCCATCAGCCCCCTCACAGGGAAGAACTTCTGCCTCAGAGCTCATCTCAATCTCCCCTCTGGCAGGTTAAAGCCATTCCCCTTGTGCTGTCCCTACAGGCTCTTGCCCAAAGCCTCTCTCCAGGTTTCTTGTAGGCAATGTAATTCCTGTAACAGGCCATGATTTAAAGCAGCACTATATAATAATAAGGTGGCTGTAATTCTTAATTAAGAGCTTGAATTATTATCCATGTCTTGTCGGAAAAACTGCATAGATGGCAAGATTTTCCCTGTTGAGAAGCTGCAGTCTGAATTTCTACCTGTCGTAGCCAAATAATACAATTTGTGCTTGTGGTGTCCTGTCTAGTGAGTGATCAGGACATGGAGTTAAATAGGTTTTAAATCATTAGCTAACTTTTCAGTTCAGCTTTACTAACTACCTGACAGGAGGATGGAGCCAGGAGGGGGCTGGTCTCTGCTCCCAAGGAACAAGGGATGGGACAAGAGGAAATGGCCTCAAGCTGCACCAGGGCAGGTTTAGCTGGAGCTGAGGAACAATTCCTTGCCCAGAGGGTGCTCAGGCATTGGAACAGGCTGCCCAGGGCAGGGCTGGAGGCACCGTCCCTGTGAATGCTCACAGCCCGGGTAGACAAGTCCCTCAGTGCCAGGGGTTAGTGGTGGCCTTGGCACTGCTGGGGTAAAGGTTGGACTGGATGAGCTGAAAGGGCTTTTCCAGCCTGGTTGGTTCTGTGATTCTGCAAACACTCGATGTAAAACACGCCGTGTGTTGGGCTATGGTCAAAGCCAGATGCGAGCTGCTGCTGACGTGTTGACAGTCCTGGTTGCGTAGGGCCACGTGACGGTTCTGTCTCTGTTGCTGATCATAACTTTTATAAGCTCTTTCTTCTTCCAGTGACCCCCAGCCCAGTGAAAGGCAAAGGGAAGGCAGGCCGCCCCACAGCTTCCAAGGCAACAAAAGAAAAGACCCCATCCCCTAAAGAAGAGGATGAAGAGCCTGAAAGTCCCCCAGAAAAGAAGAAATCAGCCAGCCCTCCACCAGAGAAGTCAGGGGATGAGGGGTCTGAAGATGAAGCACCCTCTGGTGAAGATTAAATGGCAGTTGAGGAAATCTTTGTTTAAAAAAAAAAAAGGAAAAAAAAAACCCAACAAAAAAAGAAAAAGGAAAAGAAAACATACTTAGGGGTAGAACACGGGTTTGGCTGTGGCTTGACTCATGGGCTTTGAATGCTGTCTTTACTTTCAGCTCTTTAATACAGTGTATCCTTTTTTTAATAAGAGGAAACCCTTACAACAGTCTTATTTTGAAGTCAATGTTCTCTGCTGGCCATTCTGTTCTCCCTCCCCCATGAAAGCCATTGGAGACAAATTAACAGACCTTTGAATATATATATATATTTTTCTTTCAAGGGATAACTGCAGTTGTGAAGCAATAAGGTTTGAGACTGATACGTGGAAACCATACTTACAAATCCTTGTTAGAATAGATTGCCCAGTGCTGGTAAGAGTTCTTTCAAACTATTCTTCTGTATTTGAATCTGGGGGGAAAACGAAGCTATGCTTTAACAGACTTCTGGTGAGACAAGAGCACTCTCAGAAAACAATGTAGTTTGATAGGAATTCCAGTTGAGGAAGAGGAAACACAGGGAGGAAACCTGTGTTTCTTGGATTCAGGCTTGTTTGTCGTGGAAAGCAATCATGAGGCTTGTAGATGGGCCACTGTCTTGTGTGTAGAAAAGACCCTGTGATCAGGAGGCAAGATCTTTTGTCTTTGCTGGAGAGAATACTGTTCTGCATTAGGAAAACTGCAGTTCATTCTCTGCAAATCCACACAGACAACCTACAAGCTTCTCCCATCCATTAATTCTTCCACAGTTGGCGATAGGCGGGCAGAGCAGGGAAGAGAAATTGCAAACCATTTTAAAACCTCTGCTTTCCACTTTGGTTTTGTGGAAAATGTCTTTCAAGTTTTTCCAAGGAGACAAAACAAAGAACCAATGAGTAGTGTAAAACTAAATTCTTTAGCTTTTGGGGCGAGGGATGTCCTTTCCTAAATGTGAAGCAAAGGATTCCTGTAACGCTCTGGTCAGTCTCGGATCCCATGAGTCACGCTGAAGTGTTTCTCTTCTCTCCCTCCATCTGGCCTCAGGAGGCTGCGTAGTCAGACCCCAGCCTCTCCAGCTCCAGTGCTGGACAGCAGACTTCCATGGTAGTGCACATCACCACGATCCCGCTTCTGTTCTTCATCCTGCAGTGTGGGAGGCTTTGCTCCCACATGGACATGTCTGCTGCTGACCCTTGGTCATCACTGTGCTCCCTAAGCCTGAGAAGTGCTGACGAGGGAACAGTGGTAAGGGAGGAAGTTGGGAGGAAGTGGAGTTTGGAAGCGGTGTAGCAGGGCAGTCGTTCCCTAATAAAAACGCAGGATGTCCCCCTCGAAATGCAAGACACTTGAGATGTGTGTGGTGGCATTTAAATGTGGTTTTATCAAAGCAGCCATATCCTTGTTTCTTCAAGTACCCGAGCCTTGGGTTTCACACCCTGATGCAGAGGTTGCTGCCCTGTTTGTTGGTGGAAATACTCAAAACTGGACCTGCCATTTTTCTCTTTTTTAGACCCTTTGTGCTTTCTCTGTGTCGCTCACAGTTATCTATAGCTGAGAAGCTTTGCATCCTTTCTTTTTGTCACAGAACTACAGTCTGTAACCAGCCTCTTGAAGGTTAACATAAGGCAGCTAATCAGTTGGATTTCTGGTGCACGTGCTACCAGGTTTTTAATCCTGTCTGGATTTTAGAGAGAGACACTAATATGACCAGGAAGGACGTTGGGCTGAATGGCGTAGGAAGCCTGGAGATGCTGATGAGCACAGTGTGGAGCCTAAAATGTGGAATGACTATTAATCTAACAGCCGAGTGATTGTCTTGTGTGATTCATGGCCATGGGTTTTATTGAGGCTGGTAAATTACTTTACCTTGGCTTATAAAAATTTAAGTTCTCTAATATTCTTTACTCTAATGAAACTACTGTTGCCGTTACAATAAAGATGATCGGTGTTTCCATTGTAAATCTGCTTTTTTAAGTGGTTTAATTTTGCAGAACAGCTTAAGGCTGGAGTTGAAGTATAAAGAAGCGAATGTAATCCCCTCTCCTCTCCCGCCCCTCTTCCCACCTTCCAGGTTTCTGGGAGAGCAGAGTCTCTTACCTCCACTTCTTGGGTAATGCGGGGAAAACAAACGGCCAAGTTTTCAAAACCAGTTGAATTAAAATTGGGGATAGAATTACACTTTTGTGACTGTCTGGTCCACATAGTTGTTCCCTTTCAGTCCAGACTCTTTCAAGCTATTGTCTGTTGGGTTCTTAGGGAGTTTTTTTGCTGTTAACTGTAGAATACCTCTAGCTGACTGGTCAAACAGTTGTTTCTTTACCTGCTAGACCAGGTTTTATTTCCTGAAGACTGTCTTTTGTAAGTTCCACTGTTTTATCTAACACAGGTAACTGAAGTGAAGGCTGTGAAAATGACTTTTCTGTTGTTCTCAGTGCAGGTTTTGGACTGGATTCTTTCATGCGTGGCAGTTTCAGCCCTTGCTCTAACAAACCCGTACTGCTTTCTCATCCCTTGTCTCACAGCTGGTACAGGCTGCTTGATGCTTCTCTTGGAGTTTGTCACAGCCCAAACACGATGTCAGCCCTGTCCTGCTGCTGGGATTTTGTAACTTTTTCCATATCTGACTGTTTTGTGCAGACACTAAGTTAAGCCCAAATGGTCTCTTGGTTCCTCTGTTAGAAACACAGCGGGTTTAGATAGAACTGTGAAGGTTGATGCTTTAGAGTTACTATTTTTTTTTAGCACACAGCATTTTTCCATAGTGGCAGACTGACCATTTTCAAATGTCCTTTTTACTTAATTTGTATGAAGCATTCTGTTTTCTTGAAGGAAAGCTGTGAAAAACACCTTTCTTTAGGAGCATGAGTAGTTCTTCACGGAGCAGAAAGTTTCAGTCACAGAAGAAGGCTTTGAAAAAGATTGTCTTCTGTTCCACAGCAGTAGTTTTGGAGCCTTTGCAGAGAGGTAAATGGGTTTATTCCAAAGTTCAGTTCCCTAGTGCCCTGGTGTTACTCTTACAATGGTAGTTCATAACTAACTTCCATTAGATAATCTTTTGTCCATTCTGTTTCTGAATCCACAGCACCATGTTCAGGTTTGCAGCTCTGTGTCAATAACACAGCCCTTATTAGGCCACAAGGCTTGATCAGTAAAAACTTGCAATTTCAGTTGGAATTTCATACTAAGAATTATTTGCTTCACATTCTATTTGACCAGCACGAGAATGCCAAACATGCCAAGCAAAATGGGGTTTCGGAATGGATTGTAGAGGAGAGCAAGACTTAGAAATGGGGCAGCCAAGAAGCTTTTAATACTCTCTTAGCTTCATCAGAGCAGAAGAGCATGTGGGGAGAGAAGCAGCACACCTTGAGTGGCTTCTGCTCGGGAACCTCACCACCGCCAGGTCTCGGTGCTGGGTGTGCTCGGCTCCTGTGCCACCATGGGGCAGCCTCCGCCGGCCGTGGCCTTCCCGGGCAGGGGCAGAAGATGTGCTGGAATTCCTTTTTTGTTCCCTTTTTTCTTTTTCCTTTTTTTTTTTTACCCCCTCCACTGGTGATGGTCACAAAGGTACAATAAACACTGAGGCACCCAGGTGAAGGAGGGAGGGAAGTAAACTGTAACATGCTGGAAGCTTTTGAGCTGTAGAAACTGGTGCTTTGCTTTATGTAATTTGTTTGTGAAGTGTTTATTTTTATAACAAATCATATTGTTGAACACATGGTTCTTAAAAACTACAAACCGATCCATGGGTTTAATATTTGAGAAGTGGATGTTCATCTGTTGGGGGAGGCAGGATATGAAAATGTAAGCAGATGGCTATTTAAAGGGACACTGTCACAAAATAGTTGCTGGCATATAGGAGATGTTAGTTTGGGGGGGTGGGTCACATCTATATGTGGAAATTATATATTCTATATGTATATGATCAAATAGAAAGTTTTCCCTGAACTTTGACTATTTTCCTACAGTGTTGGGAGGTTTAAATACAAGTTCTGCTCATGACAATAGGAAGCAACACTAAGTACTCTGTTCTTAACTGTCCGAGATGACTTTTGGTTTAAGTACTCTGAGGAGCATCAGAGCTCTGAAAGATGACAGTGTCCTTTCGAGACCTCCCCAAATCAAGTGTATCCTCATTTTAGACTTCCCACCTCGGTAGATGACTGGCATTTGAATGTCTTTTCATTGAACTCTTTCTATTAAAAACAAACCACAACTATTTCTTAAGTCTAGTCAAGTTCTCGCCACGTGCTGACTCTTGTGTCTCGACCACTCTGGGGAATGACTCTCTAGACTGCCTGCCCCCCTCACCGCGAGCGGGTCCATCGCCGGAGCATGCTCAGTGTGACTGCAAACACCATTGTGCATATGCTTTGTATATTGGGGCGAGGGTTTTTTATATATATATTTTGGGAGGGGTAGTGGGTGGGATGGAGAAAATACTCAAATCAGCTTAAGCCAGAATAATGTGTGTAAAAGCCCCCCAAAGTATTTTGTGTGTGAGTGCGCGGGTGTGAGTGCGCGCATGGGAGCGTCCGACATCTTCTTCCCTTTGTGTTCTGCAGATTTGTGAGTTTTACTTTTCTTTTTTCTCCCCCCGCAGAAGCAATTGTTACAAAATAAAATTGTAAATAAGAGCTACATAATTTTTGTTTTAACCATGAACATCGTGTCACAGCAAACCCTGAATAATCGCTTGGAAGGTAGAGGAGGAGACTCCAGGTAGGGCCTTGGGCCGCTGGCCATCAGCAAGGCAGCAGTGGGTGGTGTGCAGTGACTATTTGTCTTGAGTATTTGCAATCCCCCGGTGAGCTTGGCTAAAAATCAGGCTCTTGCAGTTCCCCTGCTCGTGCCTTGTAGCAGGGAGATAAAGGGGCAGCTGCAAACAGCATTCTGGTGCCATTGGGGGGGGTGTTTCCATCAGGCTGGTGGCTCTTGCAATACCTTGACAACACTGAGATCTACCGCATGGTACTAGGAGTCAAGTCTGAATGTAACATTAATGCTTTATTTAAAATAAAACCAAC